GGATGATGAAACCACTTTTGCCCAAATTTCTGAGAACAAAGAGGTGAGTTCTCGAACCAGCGAAGAGCCCCCATCTTTAAATAGAGCAGGAGGCAGACCAAGGCCGAATGCTTCATAACGCTTTAGGCAGCAGAGTTCCCGCCAGATTTCCTGGTGAGAGGATCAGTTGGGATAGTCCACTCAGCACCAGTGCGCGCCCCAGGGAAAACAGATGGAGCTGGCGGCCAGCAAAACTGTTCGGCCCATCGCTTCAACCGTCGTTGAAGATTAGTGATTAAGGAGCCATCATCTTCGCAGATTGTTTCGTTTACTCCTAATCGGAAGCGTTCGGTGATTCGGATAAGGTGGAACAGTTTTCTGGTATTACCAGAGATTAGCAAATTCAAACTCTCCAGCATGTTCACATCACCAGGTATCACGGTCCTTCTGTAAGCTCCTACGCAATGCCCGATCCAGGGGTCGGCGTTCCTCATTACAGCTGGTGGCGGCTGGGATTAAGCGGCGTCTGTCCATCAGCGACAAGGAGGCAGTGGTGATCCAGCTTTTCTGCAGGTGACAAGCAAATCCACAAGTGACGGTACTGGCAGAAAGTAAAGTGTGTTTGATGCGCATCCATTGCGAATTGAGACCATCGTCAGAGAATGAAGCAAGTAGTGTTGACAGCGAAGTCTGGTACCTGGGTAACATCGCAAGATGCTGTGGATTTCGACGTTCGGTAGGTAGTATATTCCAGTCCACAGCGCTAGCGACCGTTTACAGGCGGATTGGTACGCCAGAAATTTCTGCGGAAATCATCTTGGTTGTGAAGAGAGGCGTCGAGTCCAGAGGAATGAAACCACAAACTGATCACTTATACCAATAGGCGGGAGAATGGTTATGTCTGCGACATCTGATTGCACCGGGGAAACCCCAAGATCGAGAATATGGGGTGTCTATCCAACAAATATACGGGTAGGTACAGTAACATGTTGAAATAAGTTACACACGAAAACGGTTTCCAAAAAGTCCGCAGCGAAATTCTGAAGTAGCACAATGTAGCAAACCCCAGTCGACACCTGGGGTATTGAAGTCTCCCACTAGTACACAGTTCTTTCTCCCCATCATGCATTTTAATAGAATCCAGCAGACGATCCCCGGAACCCAGTAGAGCTCCGTAGACAACACCGATCACCAGGGTTCTGCATCCATCATGAATCCGGCACTACCGAGCTTCGAAGCCACCATTACCATCACAAGTGGCTTCAACTAGATGAGCCTTGAAGTCCGCATTCCAGTAGAGAATCACACCGCCACCAGATCTCCCTCCTTGGTGGTCAGCCAGGCAGAGATGATATCCGGGGGTCTGCAACTCTGAGTCCAGGATATCCGAGGACAACCAGTTCTCGGTGAAAGCCGCTAAATCAGAACGAGTTACTGAGGCAAAAAGTTGAAGTTAATCGAATTTGGTACTAAGACCGCAGAGTAGCAGAAATTACGCGCAATTCGAGTATGGCAAGTAGTGGTCTCCAGCGAATTTTTGGAGTTTTTGAACTACGCGAGAATCCACAATATGTAAATCAGTTGCACCGTTGTCTCGGCTGGATCTGAGTTCGTCAAGCACTTGTTTCATTTTTACTCGATCCTCCGGGGAAAGAGCTCGCAATACATAAAACGACACATCTTTAAGATGTGGAGCTCGTCGAAGAATGCGACGCTTCGTCATAATTTCGAACTACAATCTTAAGTGGACGAAGGTTTGAGGAGTTCTCCTGTTTCTTGTCGAGGCAGAATGCTGAAACAATATTGTTTCTTAATTCACCTTCATTGTACAATAAAGAAAGCGTCCGTTGTAGGAACTCCTTGTCATTTACAATCCTTTACAACTGGGGTGACC